ATGCCAAGAGCAAAAGACAAAGAGAGAATCTTAAAAGCAGCAAGAGAAAAACAGTTAGTTACCTACAAGGGAACACCCATACGATTGTCCGCTGATTTCTCAACAGAAACTATGCAGGCCAGAAGGGAGTGGCAAGAAATATTCAAAGTGATAAATAGCAAGAGCCTACAACCAAGATTACTGTATCCAGCAAAGCTATCATTCAGAATAGAAGGTCAGATAAAGAGCTTCACGGATAAGAAAAAGCTAAAGGAGTTCATCACCACCAAACCAGCATTATATGAAATGCTGAAAGGAATCCTCTAAGAAGAGGAAGAAGAAGAAAAAGGTAAAGATACAAATTATGAACAACAAATACACATCTATCAACAAGTGAATCTAAAAATCAAGTGAATAAATAATCTGATGAACAGAATAAACTCGTGATTATATTAGAATCAGGGGCTTAAAAAGGGACGGGACTGACTATTCTTGGGGGGGAAAGGGGTGTGGGGGATGCAGGAAGAGACTGGACAAAAATCGTGCACCTATGGATGAGGACAGTGGGGTGGGGGGTGAGGGCGGAGGGTGGGGTGGGAACTGGGTGGAGGGGAGGTATAGAGGGGAAAAAGAGGAACAACTGTAATAATCTGAACAATAAAGATTTAATTTTTAAAAAAATGAATTACTTTGGTATTATAATGAAGAGGTACCATACCACTCTATCCATCTGCAGTTAAAATCCAACTTCTCTATTATCAAATTATTGTATAGACTAGAAACATGAACATTTAAAGAAATAGAATATTCAAATATTAAGTACAAAATTTATATCTGCATCAAATACAAAACATAATACACAAATATTCTGATGTTGGCCGCAGGCAGCTCTACTGACTCAGCACAAAAAGATGAAAAATGTCAAATCTCACTGGTTTGGAGCTTTTTTGTTTGTCTAAGATCAGCCATTATGGTTATCGTGGGGCTGGTGGAGAAATTATAGTAAGGGTTGTAAAAAGTAAGGAATACTTTTTTCCAGCTAATTGTGAGAATACTGAATAAAAGTATTTATTTATATAAGGAAAAATCTCATTTTGGAAGTGAAATCTAGAAACAAACACTTGTGATTTTCTCCAATGAAATAAACAAAGAATCATTATTGTCTAAATTCATTCTTTTATTTTAAATACTAGAGGCCCAATGTATGGGATTCGTGTACTGGGGGGGGCGTGGCCTGCAGGGATCCGCCCACTGTGGGAGTGCCGTTCATCCCAGTCAGCCCAGCGGCGCTCCCACTGCATTGACTGTCTGCCTCCTGGTGGTCAGTGCGCAGCATAGTGACTGGTTGACCGGTCCTTCTTCTGTTTGGTGCCAGTCTGTGTCACGATAAGGAGACTGTGCCAGAGTGTCCATCAACTACATCAGTTAAATATGCTGTTTAATTCTGCAGATTTTTTTTTCATAGTAAGACATTCTCAATGAAGAAAGCAGCATGGTTTACATTGGATGCATGCTTCTTACATTATAGACGAGCACTTTGAGTAATACCAAGTAATACCGCTCTAGGAGACACAAAAGAGAATATGTAATTCATAAAACAAAAATATTAAAAATGAGATTAACAGAATTAGATGGAAAGGGAAGCTATAGACAAATCAAGGACCTAACACTATTAGGAAAAAAATAGAAACAGCAAAGAGTGAAGTAAATATGAAATCAAAACCCTATCAGTTAAGCATGGGGGAAAGACTTGAAAAAAAATCACAGAATATGGAAAGGAAAAAAAGACACCCTCCACCCCAATAAAGCAATTTGGAAAAAAAGATATAGCTATGGAGATTTCTTCTTTTTTTAATACATTTTATTGATTTTTTTTACAGAGAGGATGGGAGAGGGAAGGAGAGTTAGAAACATTGATGAGAGAGAAACATCGATCAGCTGCCTCCTGCACACACCCTACTGGGGATGTGCCCACAACCAAGGCACATGACCTTGACTGGAATTGAACCTGGAACCCTTCAGTCCGTAGGCTGACGCTCTATCCACTGAGCCAAACTGGCCAGGGCTGGAGATTTCTCTTAAAAGACAACCAATAAAATGAAAACCAATGCATCTGAAACAGAAAACCCACTGATCATAACAAAAACATTCAAAGATATAACAAATTCATCACCCTGATCCAAATGATCAATCTTACTGATGACAACTAGACATTATGTACCTCCTGGTATAATTTGATATGATATGCACAGCATAATGTATGACAAGATTGGCTAATGATGTCGAGTAACACAGCATATAGTCTGGGTTTGGAGAAGAGGTCCGGCCAGGAGGTGGCTATTTGGCATTTAAAACTTAAAGATTATATGAAATTATTAAGGGAGTGAGAAAAAGGAAGTGGATTTTGCCAGTCCCCACAATCATGTGAACCAATTCCTAAAATAAATCTCCCTTCCTCCCTCCATCTCTCCCCTCTCTCCCTCCTCTAACCTAGTATTAGTCATGTTTCTTTGGAGATCCCTAATACCGCCTTCTTTTAAACGTTTGTTGCCCTAAAATTAAGAGTTAACGTTTGCATTTTTAAAACATTATGGCCACTTGGGAAGAGAGGCTCCCAAACAATAAATAAAATAAAAATCATTAATAATTTGATAATAAAATACACGCACATATACAATTTTTAAATCTGTCCATGTATTTACCACAAAAAAAGTTTTTGTGTTTAAATCACAGCCTCTGAAATTTAACACATTTAAAAGTAATGCATCTAGGACTAGCCTTGAATCCTCCAGCCTTTTAGTTTTCTGTCCTATCTAAACAGCTCCATCTTGTGGCAAAACCAATGGGTTCTTGTCAGTTAATACATTTTCATGTTATTAATACCGTATTTGCCGGCGTATAAGACGATTTTTTGGCCCTGAAAAATATGCCTCCAAGTGGGGGGTCGTCTTATACGCCAGGTACACTTCAGATAGACTGCCCATAGTGCTTGCCCCGTGCCATAGTGGCCTCCCGATGCCCGCCCACTTCATTCCACATACCGTTCCGGCATCAGCAGCGCTGCTGGGTGTATGCTCGGCTGATATGCGATTTTGCT